CCCCCCCCCCCCCAAAAAAAAAAACACCTGGTTTCCACAAAGTATACATTGTAAGCATCTTATAATGACTTTAAATTTAACAAATTGACGTCAGTTTTTTATGCGTCTGTCCTCTGATTGATGATAAATAGCATCGTAACATTGTCACAGTGGCTGTGGAACCATGAGCTGCAGGCAAGTGGTTCCGCAGTGGTGAAACTAGCGCTAGAAACTAGACAGTTATTGTAAAATATTTGATTGACTGATATCTTTAACCTGCTTCTCTTGAGATCCCATACTCTTATCTTGCAGTCATCTGATGCGGAGAAAAGCTGAAGAACTTCAGCATTGGGATGGAAGGAAACCAAACTGAAATGAAGACAATATCCTAAGCAGCAATTTAACTATAAGTAATGTTATTTAACAATTAGACCCGTAGCCCTTGCAGGCTATGGGTCAATAGCCCATGAGGCGAAGCCGAATGGGCTATTGACCTGTGGCCCTTGAGGGCAAAGGGTCTAATTGTTTTAGTATCACCCAACTNCTTGCTCCATAAACATGCAAAAAAAGAACTTGGCCAATTATATCTGGCCATCTTGACTCAGTTCACGCTTGGTCAATAACCCATATACCTTGGACGAGGGACATCTAGTCAGATTTCAAAGAGAAGACAGTGAAAGTCAAGAACAGCTCCCAAAAGATTGTTAGTCTGATCTGTTGTCTGACAGTTGGCCATTTGCCAGCCATGGTACAGTAGCAGTTACTGTTAGCAGTTGACAACCAGGCCTGAATCTGAGCTATACATACAGTGTACATGTAAACATAATTACAATATTAAGCTAATTTCAATATTTAGAGAGGAAGCCACAACAGCACTAATTGTTAAATTCCATGCAGGTACTATTCAAGTTGAATTGGAATTTGCAAATGTTGTTTTATCAGGAGGGAGGAAAACCGGAGAACCCTGGAAGAAACCCTTGGAACAAGGTGAGGACCAATAACAAACTCAGCTCACATATGACACCGAGCCAGAATCGAATCCAGGAAACATTCATTTGGTGGGAAGGGACCACATGTACGTATCACTGCACCATCCCAAAAAAGTGAAAGAATTTTATTAATAATTAATTAAAAATCTTATAATGAGTATCAATTTACCTAACTACACCTTGTGATCCCTTAAAGTTGTGTGTGTAGTACTGTTTAATGATATCCCACACTTTAACTGTACTGTCACTTGAACCTACATGTAGAGAAAAGAAGTTTGAATTACATGTATCCAGACAACAATAATCAATAATGAAAAATGGCACAAATTTATGTCTGCTTTATATCGTACAGTGATGCCATAAAAAATAACTCCTTTATGTAATAATCTGGGGTTTATGTAAGAATCTGGGATAATAATTTTATTTATTTTAACATTGATAGAAGGTTGATACCTGTACATTGACAACCTTGCCTAGATTAAGGTCTGTCCATCTCCACTAATTCTCATTAAGATATTAAACTACACGCGATTTTGAGACAGCCTTATATTGGTGGCTGGTTGGAAGAAAATACACATACATTCTCCTATCAGGCTCCGTTGCTATGTGACTCAGCCCAATACGAAAACAAAGCTTCTTTCCATGCTACCAATATAGTGCAGTAATGTCAGTGCTGCGATGTCAATGTCAATTTTTGCACCAATCATGTGTGGTAAAAGTGTGACAACATTACAGTTTCATAANTTACATGTAGCGGTAGTCTTTTCATTGGCTTTGTTTCTTTTGCAAAGTGGGCATTATTATTTGGACACTTATTATTTCTAATATAAAAATGTTATTCTGTGGTTCCAAAAACTATCCAAACCTCCCCCAAAGAAGGAATTTTTTTTCCCCAAGACCCCCCTCCCCACCCCTCTGGAAATTCCAATTAAGCTTCATATATTTCTGTAAATTTTTTGGTCTTACAGAACCCCCATCCCCTAGGAAATTCCAATCACTTCTGTGGGGGAAGTATGGATATTTTACAGAACTACAGAAGTAAGGATGAAATACTAGTTATGCAACACTTTCAAGTGGTAATATACCTTAGAATATCCCACAAGTCAATTGATTTTTCTTGGTATATGTATACACACAATCCTGGGTATAGCGAGTATGTACTGGTGCTTATTATCCAACTGCAGTGAATACCGTCCAAATAACAGCACAAATATAGAGCGATATTGTACTGACAGTTATTTGTACATCAGCAAACCTGTTTGCCAGAGAGGTCGGTGCAAACACACAAAACTGTCACACTCTCCCCTTTCACTGATAAATTTATTGATTACAGCAGTTGGATAATAAATCTCTTATTAGATGTTTTGGTGTGAAGTATCCCTTTATATTTTTACTTGTGGTTTGTATTTTGACTCGACCTACATGTATGGGCTCGTCAAAATATGGCACAACTCGTAAAAAATTAACACACAACAATACTACACACGAAAACGTCAAATAAGATATGTATAGGTACACTGTACACCACAATAGAGCACTAGCGTTGCATAACTATTTTATACCATGTTACAGTGATAGAAAATACAGTGGCCAACACGATCAATTCAACACATGTGCACCGGTGCATGATGGGAAGGTTGGATGTAATACTGTCGAATATACAACAGCCTTCCTGTATTCTGATTGGCTGTTTTCTATGGCATGGTGTATAATAGAGTTAAACTTCATGTAGTCTTACTTTCCAGGTTCTTATTTGGTCCCCAGTCCTCCAGTTCCATTGTCTTAATAACAAGCTTCTGCTGGCTGTGACACAAAACTGAAAATACATGTACATGTAAAAAAATTACATGAATATCTAACTCCTTATTACTGTCTTGAGCTATAATTATTTCAGAAAGAAAAGAACTAATAATAATAATTTATTGATAAAGGCTTGGTAATATTAAATTAAACTTTAATTGTCATTCTTCATTGAGTATGCAACTACAATCTACATGTGAGGCATTACAAATTATCCTCAGGCTGTTAGCATTACGCTAAACAAGGATTTCCTTTCAATTTTATACGTACAATAATCATGATGTGTTTGGGTTTTATTCCTTATTTATATTAAAAGTTACGGCAACAGAAATCCAAATTTTGATTTAATAATAACAGATACACAGTGTACAGTGCCTGTCCAGCAATGCACTCAAAAACCTTGGAAATGAAGCAAACATTTGCAAAGGCCTTTAATTTGGGCATTTGAAATTTGCAATCTGATGACTTTTGCAGTAAGAAACTTTGTGATTACTTTTGAGGTGAGAGATATCAGAAAGGACGTTTTAGGAGTTGCAAAAAAAAAAATGTAACCAGGGTCCTTATAAGAGATCTGTACTACCCATAGTATCTCTCCTCAGTCTTTCTTAAAATATTTAAAAAAAAATTGGACATGGTTTTTAGGTTTGGGCTTCAATTCTTGGATTCAGTTCTGCTAAACTTTAGTCACAATTTAATACACTTCTTGTCATAATTTACATGTATACAGGTATTAGCCCCCACAGAGGGCACTGAACACAGATTCTTCCTTGTTGAGGTGTTGTGTGCAAGTTACATGTAATTCACTTAAAGAAGCTATGTCACAGTTTGTGCATCTTAAAAAGTAATTAGCCCAATTACGTTTTTCAAGTTTTTCATTTGTAATCCATTTTAATCTTCTCCATCCTCAACCATCCTTGTTCCTTTAGCATTTGCTGTTATCCTTTTGGTGATTTTCCATCTTTAGTTAGTAAACTATAATCATTTTCAGGTAACTTTCTTCAATGAAAAAGGTAATTTTGTGGGTGGCCAAAATAACTCAAAATACCATTACTGAGCTCCTTTAATGCGTTTAATGGTTTCATACTGTACCTTGTCATCAGGACTTGAAGCAAAGCAGCTTACAACATCACCTTCCTTAAAACCAGAAAATTTCAGTGTATATTAAATCCAAGAAAGAATGAAACCCAACTGCAGTAAGGTATCAACAGTATCCCATAAATGTTACATGGACAGTGAAAACTGATTTCAGTAGATATATTGACAATGCAAATTGAAACTAGAACATAACATTACTGTAATTATAATGGCTTTCAAAAGCTGGAATTTCAACACTAAATATATATTTTACATTCACTTTCTCTACGTACATGTACATGCATTTTTTATAATTAGAGAAAACACAGAAAATGTTTTCTAGAATTATAAAAAATACATGTACCATCATCATGTGGTACAAATGTACCTTACATTGAATAAAGTTTACCTCCTGTAATGTCTGAACAACCTTGCCCGTCTGAATTTGAACAACCTGAATCTTGTCATTACAGGTACAGAACAAGTGATCTTCATCAGATGAAAACTAAAAAGACAACAGAGCAGCAAACAGTTGTTAACCTGTCCACTAAAAGCACTATTAATTTCAAAAC